CGCCATCTCTCAGCACAGGGTTAGTACCATCGGTAGGTACACTGATGACATTCAGCTGTACGTTCTGCCCCAGGCTGCCCGAGTGATGCCAGGGTGTGGGTTCTTTCCCAGTGTGTGGAGGCTGTGGGGGTCTGAATGGGGGAGAAGAGGCTCCGACTCAAGCCTAGCCAGACCAAGCGGGGTTGGGATTTATGGTCCCCTGGTCTGGGTGGGGCTGCAGTCCCCCAGAGAGAAATGGGTCCCGACATAGATGGTTTAATGGGATCATAGCCTTTAGGGGCCTCGGCTTTGTTACAATGTCCTTGTTTGTATGTTTGGTATTGTGAGCCACGGGATTGAGGTGGGCAGCTCTGTACGTTTTATCAGTCAGTCAATCAATCATCAACCAGTCTCCCGGCCCCTGCCGTCCCTCCCCCACATCGATGTGGCTTCCTTTGGCTGATGGTCCATTCGTTAAGGATGCTTCTGCCTCACTTTCCGCATCCCAACCCACATCCACACCGTCGCCCAGTTAACCTGCTCTCACCAGGCCCACCAGGGTAAGAATTCACAAGCAGTAATGGGCAAGCTAGGGCATTCCTAACCCACACGATACCTGAAGCTCTCTGCTGTGGAAAGAGGCGATCTGTGGGGGCAGAAAGTTCATTGCTTCTCTTGGCAACTGCCTACAAGAAGCTGTAATCCCAGAGGCTGAGTAGCTCCTTGCGGGGGGCCGGGATTTGCTGCAGGGCTTGGGCCACGGAGTCTAAAATTCCCTTCCCTCTTTAATTCTGCAGGTGCCCGGAGCAGCTGCCAGTTAATGAATGTCCAGGGAGCCAAGCCACCTTCTTCTGTCTCTGGAGAGAGAGAAGGGTCTCCACTGCTGCAGGGAGCTCCTGGCTCTGCTTAAAGGAGCAACTTGGCTCTGGAAGCCTGCAGAGAAGTGGATCTCACAAGCGGCAGCAGAGGAGGATCTGCCTGCCAGGTGAGATGTGGAAGGAGGAAGGCGTGTGGAAGGGGAGGACCTGAAGGCAGCGCCGGGCAGCTGTTCTGCGAGCTTAGGACTGGCGATCCCTGAGTCTCGCACCAGAGCCAAGGTGGCCCGACAGCAGACTCCCTTGGGAGCCCGTCTTGTGGGTCTGGGCGCTCTTTGGCTTGGAAAGCGCTCCTCCGGGTTCCTCTCCCATCGTTCCGCAGTGCTGTGTGCAGGAAAGAAGCTGCATCCCAGCTACCTTTGCCTGGAACTGAAGGCAGGTTGGCCCCGTCTCAAAGCTCGGTGAGTCAGGGCAGGTCGACATGCCAAGGCAGGTTCCACCTGCTTCGCACGGGCTAGATTTCAGTTGACCTAGTTAAGCAGATTGTGTGACCGCAGGTATAAAATTTAATCCTATGCCTGGAGTCCTGGAGTTGGAAGGGTTCTTAGAGATATTTAGTCCAACAGTGAAGGTTCCCCTACAGCATGTCTGACAAATAAATCTCCCACCTCCATTTCAAGATATCCAGTGGGGGAGGACTGGATTTTACACTTCTGTGAACACCCTCCCCCTCCCCACCAAATAATGTTTGCCTTTTTAGTACCTACGTCACCCTGTTGGTTCACTGTCAGCTTCTGATCTACTAGAACGTCCAGATGCCTTTCATGTGTACTACTCATGAGCCACGTCTATCAAAAGTTAATTCCATCGAGTCTTAGGAAAATAGTATAGGGTTGCTCTCTACAGGTAGTATCTATGAAGAACAGAACAGATCCCATTAACCCACTGGGATCTATTTTGCTCATCAGGCAAAATAGCTTGGGACACAGATATGAAAAGAGCAGTCTACCAGGTTGGTCTTTTCCAACCTGATTCCTTTAGGTGTATTTGGACTACAAGTGCCATAATCAACAGCCAGCAAGGCCACAGGTTGATTGGTGTTGACGTGCAAGGAGCCCGATGGGAGCAGGTTGGGGCGGCTGAGCTTGCAGGTGGCGCAAACAAGGCCAATCGTCTCTCATGTGCAGGTGCGACCATTTTAGGCTTCTGACTGAGAAGTCTGATTCTGGGTCCCCAGCCAGGGTGGGATAACAATACCATGGCAAATAAAAAAGGCAGAAGATCCACCTCAGCTTGGGAATTCACCGTCTTCCAAGAGGAGGAAAGAAACAGTAGAGCAGGAAGGGTTGCGCCTGCGTCTCCTAAAGTTCACACCCCGACGATGTGTCTTTCAGCAGCAGAATATGGGAGCAGAAGGACGGCTGCCGTGCAGAGTGGCAGGTAAGCCTTTGGTGGCTCTGGCATCAGGGAGCAGGCTGGCTGCAGCCACCGCCCTCTGGAGCCCTGGGAAGCCCCTGGAATTTCTTTCTCTCAGGCAAAGCTGGATTAGCAGGAGACCAGCTGCAGTGCGCAATGGCCCCGGGTGCTCAGGGGCCACCAGTGGATTTTCTGAAGGGGAGGTCTCTGGGGACCCCTGTGCCATGAGGCCCCTGGCAGCAGGAGGGCCTCATCCTGAAGGCAAGCCGGGCGTCTGCTCAGGGCAGCTTTGACAGAAGGGGCTGCTCAGTTTCGAGGGTTGTCTCTCTTACAGGACACGCAGCAGAACAGACATTTGAACTTGAGGAAGGGTGAGCGAGGAGGCATGACAGGAGTGTAGGCGATGCCTTGGACGGACGGGGGTGGGGGTGGGGTGGGTACGATTCCTCAGGGTTAGTGACCCAGCAGAGGGAGATTCAGGACAGGCGACGCAACGCAGGCTTGCTCGCTCTGCACAGAAAACCATTTGATGCCATCCTGTCATGAAATAGGATTTAGGCTGTAAGCAGAGTAGCTGGAACAAAACCAGCGACAAAAAACGCAGCACAGAGAACATTCAGCACTGGAGATCCTGAAGAGCTGAAACCCTTCAGCCCCTTGACCACGCACAGGGTGTCTTTGGTGGTGAAAGGACTACCGTGCGGTACGTAGTCACAATGGAGACAGCCTTTGGTGCCAGTGCTGGGTGGCTCTGGAATGTCAGCATACAGAGCAGTTATGCTGATGTCCTCCTTGTGGCCTTCCCATTGAGGAGCATGGCCACTGGCCGCTCTGGCAAAGCGTGGCTGGACAATGGGGACCGTCCAGCACCACGCAGCTGGGCAAGTTCAAGGAAGCAAGGATGACACGGATTTCAGGAAGGTCTCTTCAATGCTCATCTGGGGTAAATACAGAATCTTGGAAAGTGTAATAGAAATGTCCATTTCTATTTTGAGATACTTTCCCCCAGGTTTCTCCCACCTGGGCTGTTGCTGTTTCTGAGATAAGCTACCAATGGATTCGCCACTGTTACCTCTTCTGTTTCTTTCACTGCTCCCCTCAATCCCTCTCAAATTATTTTTATATGCAAATAAAGCTCTTTTTTCCTGTAAAGATTGCATTCATGTAGGAAGCACATGAGATCTGAGGCTGCACGAACAGTTTCCATTGGCCCACACAGCCTTCGGCACCCATCTGCCAACTAGAAATACCCTAGACAGAAGGTGAAGTGGTTCCTCAGTTGGCTGGATATTGGCTGATCACCTCCTGTTGTCATTGCAGCACCATCAGCGGTCAAGGGACCCTTTTGTTCATCATGACCTGGCCCAACCACACAGATGTGGACTTCCCTTCATCCTTCTTCTTGATGGGGATCCCAGGACTGGAGTCTGCTTACTTCTTGCTGGCTTTCCCCTTCTGTGTGACCTACATAGTAGCCCTTGCAGGGAATGGGATAATATTCCTTGCCATCCAGACTGAGGGCAGTCTCCATCAGCCCATGTACATGCTCCTAGCCATGCTGTCCATAGTGGACATGGGCCTGTCCAGCTCCACCATCCCCAAGATACTAGCCATCTTCTGGCTAGGTGCCCATGACATTGCCTTCTGTGCTTGCTTGACCCAGATGTTCTTCATCCATGCCTTCACCGCCCTGGAATCTGGTCTTCTCCTTGTCATGGCCTTTGATCGCTATGTGGCTGTGTGTGACCCACTGCGATACATGACTATCCTCACTGGCTTCACTGTCGCCAAACTGGGTTTGGCCATTGTTACTCGGGCACTGGCTCTCCTCGTCCCATTAGTTCTACTGGTGATGCACCTCCACTTTTGCCGAACATGGGTAATCGTCCACTCATATTGTGAGCACATGGCTGTGGTCAAGTTGGCCTGTGGGGATACCAGACTCAACAGTGCTTACGGCTTGGTGGTAGTTGCCACAGTGATCGGGTTTGACATAGTGTTTATTGCCTTGTCCTATGTCTTCATTCTGGGGACAGTCTTCCGGCTCCCATCAAGGAATGCCCGTTGGAAGACCCTTGGGACTTGCAGTGCCCACATTTGTGTAATCCTGTTGTTCTATACCCCAGCTGTCTTCTCCTTCCTCACCCACCGCTTTGGCCATGGTGTGGCTCCATATATCCATGTTCTCCTAGCCAACCTCTACCTCTTAGTCCCCCCAGCGCTGAATCCCATTGTGTACGGCTGGAGGACAAAGCCCATCAGACGAAAAGTCCTCAGAGTTTTTCAGCTTCGCAAGATGTGAGGGAAGAGCAGCAGAAGTCACTTTTCATGGAATGGGACCCCTTGGCGGTGCCTAGCATTCTCGTAACCCACGTGAAAGGAGTGTGCTCTTCCACTGCCCTTTCTCTTCTTCAGCATGAATGCTCCTCATCTTGGATTTAATACAGTTGTCCGGAAGCAACTGGGGTTGTGCACGAAGCTTGAAGCTGATGACGTTGATGGTCAGTGTAACGTGGTGGGCTAAGCCAGAACTCCTAATTCAAGCGTTGGTCTTTGTAATACACTCGGGGATGTGTGTGTCTTTGGAAGGTCCTCCTCCCGCTAAGTCTGTCCTCAGCACAGCTGCAGCATCAGCAGTGCCACAGCGCTGCTCTGCCTCCAGTCGTGGCGTGAGAGGTGCATCTAGCTAATACTTGAACGCGCTGCCCACGGATCACCAGTGTCGCTCTTGCTGAGATTGTTAATGTTGTTATAAAGAGCAGAAGGCAATTCGCGCAGCAGCGGTGGAAGCGAGGGCGGAAAGGGAGGGAGGGATGGAGGGAGAGGCTGAGTGGACGAGCTTTTGCGGAGCTTCCGTCCCCTCCTCGTTCCCTGTGCCTTTAATTTCTTCAGCTGGTCTTGCACTGTGCCCAGCACCGCTTACCCTGGTTGGGAATATGGGGGCATTAAGGGAGCGCTCCCTATTGTCAAAGTGGGGCAAAAAAGGACCAAATGGGGCCCTCCAGTTGCTTATTCCACACAGACTTTAAAATGTGCATGTCAGATTGATTTATTGATAGTAAATATTTATTAAGATCAATTGTGGGTTTTTTCTTGTTTTGCTTTGGTCAGCTGCAATGGTAACTTTGGTGTCTCTGAAGCTGAAAATGCCACTGCTCCGGGTTCAGGTACCAACAGACTTTGGGGGTCTCCTGGCAATGGCAACCTCAGGCAAATGGGGCTTGCCCTTTGACAGGGGAAACGGTGAAAACTCATCGCGATCAGCCACCGGTTGATCTGAAGTAATCAACCAGCATCCATTCAAACTTTCCATATAACATACTTTGTTTGCATCCCATTTAAGGTTTTAAGGTCGTAGCTTCGCTCTAGTTTGAAAAAAAGGATCAAAATGCAAATTTCCAGAAATAGTATATCGCAATTTCTGGATCAGTTAAAAGTGGCAGGAGATATAACTAATCTCTTACATCTTAAATTAAAATTAAAGGATTTATTTGGCCACTCAACTTCCAGGATGCAACTCTGGGTGGTGCACTACCATAAAAGTAGAATTACGACGGTAACAAACCAACGAAATACAACAACAACAAAAAACTCTGCAAGGAAACCCACAGCCGGAGCCGCCCAACGTGTGCGCCACCTCACAGGACGCGCTTCCACAACGTGCCAGCCGCAGCGCCCAGGCGAGCAGCCTGGTCTTCAAGGCCTCCCTGAAGGCTATCAGGGCTGGGGCCAGCCGGCTCTCGGGGGGACTGCATTCCATAGGGCAGGGGCCCCCCCGGAGACCCCCACGCAGCCGAATTACCTGGAGTGCTGTGGGGGAAGAGGCCGGAAGAGGCCGGGAGGGAGAATTGGTCTTGGCCCAAATCTTTGCATAATGGTATAATTCCAGATTCGTGGAACCAAAGCTGCTCTCTCTAACCTTTCGTTTTCCACAGATATTAGGAACTGAACATACTAAAGAAATTTGTGGAACATTTATTGAGTTTTTGAAAACATTTTCCAGATACGTATATGGGGATTCCATGCAAAATATGAAGTGTCCTGGGAATTACATTCATTTTAAGAGTGTTTGTCCTGCCTCAGATGATAAGGCCTAAATATTCCCATCTATCGCTATCCAAAGAAGCCTCCTTGTGTATATTATTTGTATTTAATGAAATTACTTGGGAAGTGTCAGATGGGGTAAGAATACCTAAATAGTTAATAAATTCAATATATGTAGGAAAATAATTACTTAGTGTATTAATAAACTAATATTTGTCCATTGGAATCAATTCTAGTTTAGATCAATTAACAGAGTATTCTGCGATTTACCCAAATGCATTAGTCAAGTGGATCAGAGTGGAAAATATGAAGTTAAGAAATAAACAATGAAATATTGTCAGCATGTAATACCAATATTTTAATGAATTATGAAAAAAAGATATGAGAATCTGGTCTAACAGCACAAGCTACGGGTTCTAAAACAATATCAAAATCAAAAGGGAAAGGGAAAGTGGATGCCCATGTCTGGTATCTTTATAGAGTAAAAAAGTAGTTTTTTTTTTTTTTAAAGACTATTATATTTCATTTTGGATTTAGGAGCCTTATAGAGATTTAGGACCATTTTATAAAACTTGAGGAAATCCAAGTTTAGCTAAGGTAACACACATATATTATTCATATATTTTATCAGGAGCTTTTTCCACATCATGGAATAGAATTGCAGTTTTGTCTTTTCTGATTTTGTTCAAATCAATCCAATTTACCACCAGCTGAATATTATCTGATCCTGGTCTAATGTTAATCAAGTCCACTTGATTGTTTTTAACCACTGAATACAAAGAAGAAGAAAAAATCTGTAACAAAAAAGAAACAAAAACTTACAAAAGGTATATTTATAGACATACATTACACCAGTAAACTGAGGCCACGATCCATTACAGTCATCCATGGTTCAGCTACGTTGATCAATTCTGCAAATCGCTGAATAGCTGGAACCCTCTGTTTGTGCTTCCAATGCGGAGGTCAGCTCCCATGTGACTGAAATAGAATATAAACATCTAAAAACATTTAAGCTCAAGGCTAAGTTAATATAAGGAATTGCTTCTTACCAAAATGGAACAATATATTTAAATAAAGCGTTAGTTTCACTGCATAAATGCAAGAAGGGTCATTTCTAAAATATGACCCTTGTTGAAAAGGATCTGATCTAATCTAATCTAATCTAATCTAATCTAATCTAATCTAATCTAATCTAA